GAAACGTCAGCAATTGTGTTCTAATAAATTCTATATTAACAACCTCGTGTCTGCTTATTGATGAAAAACATTGAAGTAACAAAACAATTAACGAGGCATGGGGCGTGGTGGTCGGAGGCTCCCTGCAACACATGGGATCGATCCCGCACCCATAGCATGCCAAGCCTTCCAAGTCTCGGAGTTCAGCAAATTGGCGCCAGACTTATCTTAGAAGATAACAGCACCGGCTCGATACATCGGTAGCCTACCGCGAGCCATTGTAAAGGCCAGATATGCGCTCAGTCACCTCAAAACGATGCTTAATGAAGTCGAATGCATGGCACATCCTTCAAGGATTGATCAACGCTGACAGCTTTGCCCTTTTTTATTATCAAGCGTTACCTAGAGAAATCTCGTTGGAAGTGGATAGCAAGTATTAGCTAGGTTCAGTGCTGAATAATACTTGAAGTCGAACAATCCAGTAAATCCATGCGGCAGACGCATCTGTTCTCAATACCTAATTTTTCGTGGCACTCGCTATGAGTCGATATAAAATCATATTGGCCTTGTTGGCGCCCTAGCAAGGGCACACCACCTTTGGTTGCGCTTTTCGCTCTGGAATTCGGTTTTTCTATGCGGTTCGGAAGCGAATTGAGTAGTTTTTACTTTCAACGTTTAGTTTAAGCTCTTCGGTGCGTTCTCCTATGCATTGCTACTTTTCACAATCAGCTTTCCAATACGATAACCATGATTCGTCGCGATAATTGTAGATCAGGCAGAAGCCAATTACTTGTTAAAATCAACAAGTTAAAAACTTGTTAAAAGAATTCATTTTTGTACGCTTAACATATAATGGACGGCACTGGTTTACCAACGACTCTGGATAACTTTTGATAACTAACTTACTTGATACTTGAATGGCCCGCCCTCCCTGGTTGTGCGGGTCCCAGCATAATCTACACTTTTCGGAGATTTGCTGGTTAAGCCATTATGGTTCCCTGGAGTGCTGAGGTTTGCCTGGCCAAAGTCTGCTCCAGGTCTTCACCACCACGGGTAGGCGCAGCCCTTGTGGATCAGAGGGAGATTTCCCACAATGCGACTTTGATACCAGGACGGTGGTGGATCCTGGTACTGGTTTACTCTTAGCTAGGTTTCCAGATGAAAACGCCGGACTCCTTCTCAGCTTGGGCGACCCTGCCAAGGGATGAATCCTCCGCTGTAGATCGCAGTCCGACACCCAGGAACACCCCCAGCCACGATGAAGCGGTAAACCGTTGGGAGGTTTGATAACAAAAGCTCTTGAGATGCTGACAACTTGGAAGTCTCAGAAAAGAGACATTGTTCTATTTTCCTAAGGGTGCATACAACTTTTCCAATGCTATAAAGGTTTATCTGAAATTCATACCTTTAAAAAGTGAAAAGCCGTTCCAAAATTTTAAGGTCTTAACAGCAGGTGTGATAGCAGCACATTTGGTGGCCGAATCTGAGTTTTCGCAAATTGCTGATAATTTTTCTACAAATGGGATAAAGGAGTAAAAAACGTAATCGGGCAACAGAAGAGACCTTGAACTACCTTCTAAGGGTAAACGTATACGTTTCTCCAAAACATTTACTTGACTTCTAAAATTGTTTAGAGTTTAAATTTCCAAAAGGAATGAAAGCGAAATCCAAGTTTTAAAACTCCAGAAGAAATCCTAGCAGCTACAAACGTCGACAATGTACTCTTATGGGCACCATCTAGTTGGAATAGACAAAATTCCTTTTGTTTGATGGCTCTAATTCTCGAAATGGGGCCTTCAAAGAAATAGATGCCTATAATACGTTTGGTGAGCTCCAGAAAATTGTAATCTCATCGTTGTAAAACAAGATAGCTTTCAACTGAATGAAGCTTTTATAATGAACTGCAGATCCTAATATATTCTAATATATTCTACATATTTAAACATTATTGAGTTGGGTTGGTACAAATTTGCTTAAAAAAGAAAGGTCTCTTCATCTTCTTCAGAGCCAGGCTCGTCTGAGTCGACGATCCACAGGTGGTCGTCCTCGCGATGTGGGTGATCGTCGTAGCATCGTGTTGAATCCATAGCACTGTTCAAGTGATGTTTCCCCATTCGTTGATGTCATTTTATACAGGTCAGATGTTTTCTTGTACTGGTTCCGTTCTATGTGATCTATTTATGGAATCCAATATTTCTTACTGCATTAATAAATCTTACTCTGAGTTAAGACATAACCATTTAAAATTGAAAGCGGTAGCTATTTTCGCACCATGAGTGGAAGTAAACTCACGTCTGACCCCAAGTGTAAAATCTCGTTTGTTAAACCAATTCGGTAGCTGATGTACCAATTTCGACAAAAACATTACGTTTTCTGGCCTTAACAAAACCAGAATTTCGTCGTGTTAGAATAAAAGAAGAAATTCGTTGTTTGTAAGGAACTATGTTTTCTAGTACTCTTCCTTCCAATCGATATTGTTTACTGTGAGCTGAGATATGTTCACTCATAGTTGAAAGGCTGAATTGCCTCTGAGCACTCAGGAACCGCTCCGGGCACGGGGAAATGGTAAACCACGTGGACACTCATAGTGGAATCAAAAATTTCAAAAGCAGACACCTGAATAGTGATCGGACTCAGTTTTACTTGATTTTTTGAACTGGATTCTCCACGTGATTTGTCAAAACAAGTATAATGCCTGTACACAGATAATTAGTATGAGAGAGAGAGAGAGAGAGAGAGAGAGAGAAGAATTCGTTTAGTGGGCAAATACAAGAACGAGGTGGGGCTGCCAAAGCAAATTATCCATTAGAATCTGAGAAGAAGACAGTGCGTGACCAAGCAGAACCTGTAAGAATGTATAGGTCTACTTCGTGAATGTTTAACAAATCCCAATTAGTTCAAGAACCAGGTTATCAGAGTTACTCATATTTGATTCCGGGGTTCTACAAATAAAACTTCTTTTTAATTCACTGAACTTATTGCGATGTATATCAACTGCACAACATTTTCTCGAAACGATGAAATCTTTCCGAGCAGATGAGCATTCGTTAAAAAATTCACGTGAACACACAAATATCTTCTGTTCCATTAGAGCAACAATAATACTGATGGGTAGGATTCAAATCTAGGTGAGGTGATGTGGCTTTCCAGAACCATCAATTCAAACACAATGTCCATTGGTGTGATTGCAACTCCTTCCTTCGTCGCAAAATATAGCAGACAATGTTTCTACGCCACAAAAGGATTTTAATTGTTGCAAAATATTAGAGCAATAGGTATGTGGTGTAACTAGCGCGGCACTGTGACGACGGGTAAGGCTTGTAGATGGCCATATTGACCACTCAACAGAATATACAAAATAAAAAAGTACTTATCGGAACACAGATTGTGAAGTGGTTCTTGTACAGCACACTCAGCAACTACTTTGTTACATAGTTAAACTCTCCTCTGACATTTTTTCGTACTACGATAATTACGTGCAAGGTCCACCCTTTTTTCTTCTTGATGTCATGAGGTTCAAGAACAGTGTACGTAGTTGACTATGTCCGGCCCAAACCATGTAAGCTACGATGGCTCGTTAATTCCAAGCCATTTTCATGCTTATAGTTACAGGCCGAATCTCAACACAAAGAATTCAAGATCGTTCTTTTTAGCAGGGATCTCCAGAGCTAGCACGGATTCGAAGGTGAAGATCCGAACGAAAGCTCTTTTTGGCAAGAAAATAGCTACAAATATCGAATAGAACCAGTCGAGACACTTTCTTCGATGCCAGACATAAGGGCACTAGACATTACAAGAATTATTTTTAGGATGACATCGATGATAACTAAATACACAAAAAGCAAATGATCGCTATTTCACGGCCACTTGCACCCAACCACCTGCAAGAAAATGACAGAGATCGTTGTCAGTGGTGGCTTCGAAACATCAATTCTGCACTTCGACAACTCTCTAGTCGTTCAAGAGAATCGCCAGCAATAAGGAACCTAAACGTGATTCATTTAAAAGTTAAGGCTCCACACAGGTATGCCCTAACTCCTGTTACTTAGCATATCTCAACAACTCATGTCCATTCATTCCCACAGTTACAGAGCATACTGTGAAACCACCCAACGTTGAAAACAATTCTTTGACGACACACAAACATTTTCATAGGATAAGACACCACACATTAGCCGGATCCTAGCACTTCTTTCATTCGAGCAATTGAGCATGCCTGTGGATCCTCTTGCTACTTAAACATTTCTAGTCTCCATGAACTTTGTTGAATGTATGCTCGTTTTCTCTGTAATCGTGGGATAATCGCGCCAAGTTCTGTCTTGTGAATTGGAGAGAGCTTACCACACAAGTCTCGCAAGAATTCTAGACCTCAGAGGAATACGAGTCTTAGCTGGCTTAATGCTGGGCATTAGACAGCACCACACCGCGCTACTTGAGCCTCACACAGAAACTCATCAAAGCAGAAAATTCACCTTTTCACCACCAACATTTCCCGAATCCGCTCTGTTACCTTTTCCATAGATATTTGAGTAAATAATTCTCTTCAGAGGGAGACAAACAAGCCAAGAATTTTTATACTGCACTAGCAAACTACAACTTCGTTGAAAGAACACATACACAAATGACACTGGAACCTCATTGTGCATGACATACACTAAAACTATAAGAAATGATGCTAATAAGACGAAATGTATAATGTGATGGGTAGCAACAATTCGCATAGCAATCCACGAGTTCTTTGAGAATATACTACTATGGAATAAATACATTAAATAAAAACGGTCAGTGTACATTTGTACTTACGACTTCGCTGGTTCCGGTGCCGGTTTCGTTCCCACGCCAGTCAGAAGCGATTTTATCTCGCCGATAGCCTTCGCTGGATTCAGGTTCTGCAAAACAGTAATGATTCATACAAGCTCTTTAAACGTTAATTTTGATAGAACAGGAGCCAAACGTGCAAAAACCAATGCTTTTTCCAAGAGAGGGGTGAGAGTTTAACATTATGAAACATGAATAAAACAAGGTAAATCAATTACCAAACTTTTTTTTCACAGCTACAAGAAAAAAAACTCAATACGTAAACCTCAACAGAACAATAATCTATCCCAATCTGATCGACGTAGCATGAGGGTGCGTTGAAACGATCAGTCACTTCCTTTTTACCATTTCCACAAATTATTTCTGATATTGATTTCAGATACATTAAGCGGCTAACACTACTCTAATTTCCTCCATCAGCAAGTTGTCTACTTTGACTTTTTAGTGAATGAACTGGCAATTCATCTGATGAGATACCTCAAATAATCATCTTCTACTATTAATTTTGCATACACCATAGAAAATTAAATAAATAGAATTTTCGAAAGTGTTACGGTCTATTAGTCCAAAAACGTGCCACTTCACCTTAGGACATGTTTTCGTGCAATTCATGATAGTGTGACATTTGAAGGCGGAGAAAGAGTCGTGCATACGGTGAAGACGTTCCATGGCGTAATCATCACGGGAGTCTATGATCCATCTGAAATACACCTTTGCTCACAAAACAAGATATGAGCGTCGAAGCTGGACAACTATATGTGCAAAGTTCTAAGTCAAACATTCCCACAATCCCAATCGAGAAACTAGGAACTTAAATTTCAATCGCACTGCAAGCAGTTTTTTCAGACATTCACCGTGTCCTGCAAGCCTTCCACTTATTAATGGAGGCCAACCGCATAGAAGTACATGGGTGATGAATGCGCGACTTTCACTTTGAAAAAAGTCTTTTGATTTGACTAAAATCTTTGTTTTAGGTCCTTCATCTCCACTTAGTCATTCATTTTTTTTCCAATTTGAAATCTTTTATTTTGCATCTTTCAACGTGGGAATTGAGCACTACCAATCCATTGAAACGTTCTACGGTTGGTCTCGATCAATAACAACAAAAAAAAATAGGAAAATTCAAAGAAAACGGTGACTGTCTAAAGAAGAGGTTGCGATTGAAATGAGGTTTCGAGACATTCTGTAGCAGTCATGACAGCTTTTGAACGTGCACATCGACTTGACCTTTCCAAGCTCTAATAAAAAGACGAAATCCACCAAAACGTTATCTATCGCGAAATGAACAATATAGTAACAACCTCGTGCCTGCTCATTCAGAAAGCAAGTTTTTGCTGAGAATTTTGGACAATTAGAAATCAAAGCTACGTTTCCAAGGTAACGAATTCGCGCCGAAATTACTCTAACACTGAAATGGACTGCTACAGTAATTGAACTAAACTAAAAGCTGTCAAAATTTAAAGGCATATGGAAGCGTTTCTTCCTGATGTACAACTTTTATTTACTGCTCATTATTTTTTCACGCCAGGGTATTATGCGAAATACAATACACAATCAACCACAACGATGTTGACATATTTGCAAAATTTAGACCTCAGGCCAGATCTAACCGTGATTACATTTTCCGAGGCTTCAAGTGTTACGCACATTCGGTAAAAGTTCGTTCTTTAGACCATCGTTAAAAAGAATGGCCGAAAGGCAGAATGAGGGCCTCAGTGGTATCGTGGGGAACGCGCAAAAAATAATCCCCGGAAAATGCAATCGCGGTTCGATCTGGCCTTGGGTCAAGTTTTGCAAATATCTCAGCATCACTGTGGTTGTGTTCCAAATAATACCATTCCGTGAAAAAATGAGCAGCGGATAAAAGTGACGCATTGTGATTTCGACTACAGTCTCAGCTTAACTAGGACTAATGCCGATTTGTGCTCCCCAGACCATGATCGTTGACGGGCGAATGCTCATGACATCGTTAGGGTAAAAAGACTGTTTAAGTGAAAGGCAGAACGAAGGCCTCAAAGGTGCCTTGCGCAATAAACAAGCCGCCGGCAAAAGTAATCGCGATTCCATTTGGCATGGGTTCAAGTTATGCGAGTATCTCAACAACATTGTCGCTTCTTCTCAATTACAGCAGAAGCAAACAGATCTTCTCCACCTATGCAAATATGTTGCAAAAGAATCAACCAACAAAAATATGACCCATGTACGAACCAGACAGCCACTCCGGCCTTCTTCGAACGTATGAAGAGTAAACGACTCACGTCAGATCGCATCTTTTAAAACAAGTTTATAAGCCATGCACCTATAAGCCTATACGTCTGAACTTGCAAAATGATACAGACAGACATAAAAGAAGATCTTAAAGAGAGAGGAGCAGCAGTAATAACCGAAGCGGCAGAGGCTTGGAAAAGCATTCGCAAAGCCCACCGAAGCTTCGCCACAAGTCCAAAATGATTGCACTTCGATACCCAGACGGAAGAGTTACAGCGTTCAAAAAGTGAAGAAGATCATTCACGAATACTACTCGGATCTCTTCGATAACCACGTCCTCTTTCCGTTATATGAAATAAAGGTGGATGGATATTTTGTACCATCGGTTCTCCCTTCCGAAATCCGATATGCCATTTCGTCGGTGAAAAATCGAACCGCACCAGGTCCGGATTGGATAAGACCAGAACACCTAAAGAACCTTCCGCCAGTCCTCACAAACGCACTGGTTCGGCTTTTAACAAGCTACCTGTCTGGATGCAAGGTCTCCACTCAGTGGAAGACCAGCAAGACCGTGTTATTGTTCAAAAGGGGTGAACAGCACACTGTCGGCAACTCGCGCCCAATTTGTTTGTTGTCTGTCATCTACAAACTTTTCACTGGAATGAGCCTAAACAAGATTGGCAAAACGCTAAACGAAGGACAGCTATGTAAAACGAAAACAAAGCTATGTGAGCAAGCAGGGTTTAGAAAAGGATTTAGGAAAGGACGGTGGACCACATCCACACGGTAACAAGGCTCATTGAAGTATTGCGAGAGTACAAAAAACCGCTCTGTCTCACTTTCATCGATTTACGGAAGGCCTTTGATTCAGTTGAGATGGAAGCAGTCTGGGAAATCCTTGATAGTGAAGGAGTTCCTACTCCGTACATAAAGATTCCTCGTGAGCTGTACAAAAATTTCACAACCAAGATATCATCATTCTACAACGATATTAACATTTACGTCAGAAGAGGAGTTAGGCAAGACGATACCATCTCGCCAAAATTGTTTACCGCCACACTCCAGAACGTTATGCGAACATTAGAATTGGATAATATGGGAGTGAAACTCGATGGCCGGCAGTTACACCATCATCACTTCGTTGATGACATCCTCCTTATAACACCAAACATTGGCCAAGCGGAATGTATGCTTGACAGCTTTGATAAAACCTGTGGAAAGATTGGACTTCGACTTAATCTCGCAAAAACGATGTTCATGAAGAACGGATTGGTTTCGCATGCCCCATTCACGTTCAACGGAACGAATGTCTCCGAACGCTCCAGTTACATCTATTTAGGTCGGGAAATCAATATAATGAACTAACTAGCTCCAGGGCTGAGCAGAAGGAAACAAGCTACTCGGGGAGCTTTCAAGAGCATCGAGGATATAGTGAAGAGTACAAAGAACACCCGTCTCGCCCACGTTTTCAACTCAAGGGTACTTTCTGCCCTAACGTATATTTCAGAAACCTGGTCGCTGCATAAGCAGGATGAAAAATCACTCAGCGTTCCACACAACTAAGGGATGGGATCCGAAGCTCCGATTTGCGTCAACGATCAAAAATCAAAAATGCCGTTCTGTGCGCCAAACAGTCGAAGATAAGATGGGCCGGACAAGTAATGCGCATGAATGACAACCGATGGACAAGAGCCGTTAGTGACTGGATTCCCCTAATTGTGGAACGTACTGCAGGAAGACCACCGACCCGATGGTCAGAGTTCTTCACAAAGAGCCTTTAAGAAAGATACGATGTTCGACGAGTCCCTAGAGCGGTTAAAATCCACTGGGCTACTCTTGCACGCGACAGGGAAAAATGCAAGATTTACTGCCACCCGCCCGAGTCACTCTACGATCAATGGGAATACAGGTTATACAGGTGATGGATGAAAAAAAGTTAAACAATTGTCAAACCCCTTTTATGGTCACATGAGAAAAAGCCCAGAGAAAACAACAATCTAGCCCACTTTAATCGACACTTCTTCAGGGCGCGTTGGAACCACCACACCGTTACTGCCTTTTTAGTACTTCCACAAATTATTTCTAACATTGGTTCCAAAAATACTAAGCGACCGACACTCTTCTAATTTCCACCTGCAGCAACTTGTTTACTTTAACTTTCTCAGTAAATCCACAGGAAATTCACCTAATGAGATGCCTCGAATTATTAAGCTCTATTACTAACAGTGTACACTATAGAAAATTAAATAAATACAAGTTTTGTAAGTGGTTTTGTTTTGTAAGTAAGATTTATTAGTCCAAAAACGTGCCACTTCACCTTAGGACATGTTTTCGTGCAATTCATGATAGTGTGACATTTGAAGGCGGAGAAAGAGTCGTGCATACGGTGAAGACGTTCCATGGCGTAATCATCACGGGAGTGTATGATCCATCTGAAATACACTGTTGCTCACAAAACAAGATATGAGCATCGAAGCTGAACATAACAGATCATAAGACTCTCGAAATTGTGTAATTTCGTAATTTACTGAGAGAAACTCCCATGACTGACTCCTTATTCATTCGGTCAGTGATAAACAATTTACTGCTTCCTTGATGAGCAAACACGAGGTTGCTAAAGCAATGTTCATTTAACGATAGGTAACGTTTCGGCAAATTTAGCCTTCTTCAGGACATAGAAAATTCAAGTTCATGTAACTGCCACGACTGACTTTCTATTAACCTCGGCATTGATCAAGTGATTTTCTTCGTATTTTTGTTGAGCAAAGAAACAAACAACAAAGAATAGTAACACCTCGCGTTTGCTCAACAAAAATACGAAGAAAATCAAGTTCATGTGAAATGTGCGATGCATCTGGCCAAATATTTCCATGACCTCAAACGAAAAACCCGAAACCTAGATTTCAGTCGCACTGTAAGCAGCATTTCAGACACCCACTGTTTTCTATAAGCCTCCCATCCATTAATGGATACCAACCGCAAAGTTTACATGGGTGAATGGACAATGTGTTCCTCTCACACTGAAAAATCTTTTGAGGTAACTAAAACCTTTGCTTTAGCTATTCCATTTCCACTTACTCATTCGTCTTTTAAACTTTCCTTTCATTTCTCAGTCCTTTTATTTTGAATCTTTTAACATGAGAAGGGGACATGTAAACTTTCGCGGGCCTCAATCAATGATAAAAATCACTGGAAGACTCAAACAAAATGGCAACTATCTAAAGAAGCGGTTTTCAGCCTGACTGAAATGATGCTTCGAGATTTTCTGTTGTGGTCATGAGAGCTTTTGAATGTTCACATCAACATGACCGTTCCAAACTCTGAAAAAGGCAAAATCCGCTAAAACATTACCTATCGTGAAATGAACACTACAGTAACAACCACGTGTTTGCTCATCAAGAAACAGCAAATTCTTGCTGAAAGAATTTCGGATAATTAAAAATGAAAGCTACGTTTCCAAGGCAACGAATCGGCGCCGGAATAACGCTAACACCGAATTCTACTGTTGCAACAAGTGAAAGCCATCAAACTTGAAGTTAACGTCGATCTGAGCTGCAGAAACAATTTGCGAACAAAATATGCTAAATAAGACATTAACTCGACATTCACACAAAACCGTGTTGTGATTTCCTCTCTAGCGACAGTCTCGAGGAGGGAAGAACGAACGCGTGTGGAAACGTTTCTTCTTAATTAAAAACAAGGAAAACAGATTTTCTCTGTCAGTGCAAATATGTGAGAAAAACAGTCGAAAAGCAAACGACCCTTGTACGACTCAGTCCGTCATTCCAACCACGGAGAAGCTTAAATAGTGAACAACTCATATTAGATCGTATCTTTTAAAAGTTGCACCTGTAGTCCTACATGAGAACAGCTGCTCCCAGATATTTAACGGCATTCCACCAATACCATAGAGAAGATGTTGAGCAGCAAGCGCACAAAATACATTCGTACAGTCCATCCTAGAACACAAATGAATACGTTACATCTTCCAATCACAGCCAATTGATTATCACCAATGACCCGCTTCCGGAAAATTTGTGCGATGCATTGAAAATACGTTGAAACGTACCATTGTGTCACGCTCCTTTATACTCTGAAATAGCTGCTTTTCACCTAAAGTAAGACTCGATTTCTTTTGAAGGACTCGTGTCACGATCGATTCTGCAGATACAGGCCAACGTGTTTTATGCGCCAATGTTCATCGCACATGATCCACAAATCCCTGGATTACGTTATAGAAGATATTTGACTTTGTACTTAATTTAAAATAGTACATTCTAGCAGGAAGTATATTTCGTACTAATCAGTTGATGGTGTATCGGTTTGATATAAATCCACGCTGTATATTGGGATAGTACTCCAAGGATTTCATCCAGATTTTAAACCTTAACTCGTCTGCAATCACATCAAGCTGCAAACAGTACAAACAAGAATTGGCTCACCCGCACCAGCTTTTGTCCACTTAATCGTCGAGGGACTCCAGTGCGTGCCAGTAAATCTTTCAGTAACTGCCACGACCGACTTTCTATTAACCTCGGCATTGATCAAGTGATTTTCTTCGTATCTTTGTCGAGCAAACGCGAGGTGTTACCATTCTTTGTTCACGATTAAGCTGACGTTTCGGCGAATTTCGCCTTCTTCAGAGCCTGGAAAGGTCAAGTTGATAGCAACTCACTCGGCCAGACGCCTCCATAACCAAACAAAGAAGCTCCAAACCAAAATTTCAATCACTTTGAACACAGCTCTGCACACTCACCGCTTTCTATGAGGTTTCCCCCAAGTATGTCACGTAGAGACCAACCGCACAAAAATCACATGGAAGTATAATGTGCCCCTCCCATCAGAATAGCAGTCTTATATATTGCCCTATATCGCGCGTGATAATGAGGCATTCTTCCCTGCGGTTCATTTTCGGATTCCTGCATTGAATCCATAATGCCTCCAGAGTTTTGCGCGCTTGTGTTTTTGATTCGTGTACGAGGATCGTGACACATACTTCAAAGTCCTCCTGTTATGTCTCTGGGTCCTATGCGTGCCTAGCGGAGTATTTGGTCTATGTTTGCCGACTAGGTATTCTTTTACGCGGACACAGAAGGCGCTGCCCGTTTCACCAATGTATTCGTCTCCGCACGTCTTACAGGTGATCAGATAAATGTACCCGAGCTCATGCAATCACCGTCTCTACACTGGGGCAAATTACGCAATTTAAGGGACTTTGAAGTATGTGTCACGATCCTCGCACACGAATCAAGAACACAAGCGCGCAAAACTCTCGAGGCATTCTGGATTAACTCCAGAAATCCGAAAATGAACCGCAGGGAGGAATGCCTCATTATCGCGTTCAAGTTGTTGAAACACATTCCAACTTAAACCGTTAACTTTCCGTGGAAATAAACTTAGCTTAAAGCAAGTTAGGTGACAGATTTCGAGCGAAATTATAACACACTCATTTCTACACATGTAAATTATGCAGCTATTTTTCGAGAGCAGCCAAAGATTGTGATAACCAGAGTGGGTTAAGTCTCAGCAATCAGCAAATATTTCAACCCCCATAAATCGCAAAACACAGCGTGTTTAATAATCCAGTTCGAAAATAACGACAAGTGTACAAGCAGTCACTTGGGAAGTTTATAAAATTACAAATTCATTTATGTACAAAAGTTATACACACCATCGCAACACCCATCGCAAAGAGAATGCACGATATGCCTAGTGTGGGCAAGCACTCATTTAAGTTTACAGGTGACATTACGTTATTCGGAGATTGATGCACAACCTGCAGCTTTATTCTTTTTGAATAAGTTTTTTCTTTCATCGGTTTACTACCTCATCGCAGCTGAGAGCTATTCATGGGTGTCGAGCTACGATGTACAGAGAGAGGGGTCACCCCTAGCGGAGCCTACCGAGTTGAGAAGGAGTCTAGCGCTTCCATCATAATGCCTAGCTAAGAGTAAACCAATACCAAGATCCACCACTGTCCTCGTGCCAAACTAGCAAACTAGTCGCATGGCGACAGATCTCCCTGTGATCAACAAAGAAGGCGACTGCCGAGGCTGCTGACGGCCTCAGGAAAGCTTCAGCTAGGCCGACCTCGGAACTCCAGAGAGTCAAAATTGTTAAACCTGCAAATCGCTGGAGAATGGAAATTCTGATGGAGCCACGCAACGAGTGAAGAAGGGCCATTTACCATGAAGGAACAAGCCTTCAGTAGGAATTTTTCTTCGAATATTGCACTATTATAAACCAGTAGAAAGCTTATTTAATGCTCTTTCGCCCTTTATAATTAATTGAGTGATAAGACAAACTACGCCTTCGACAAATTCTAAAAGTTTGAATTTTCGGTGTTAAAATGGCATTCTCGACAAATCTACTTCTATGAATGTGACCTCGGTTGCACGAAGCACTAAGCAGTCGAAAGTTAAGGAGGCATGTGGTCAAGGAAGTGTCAACGAACGGCCAATTCAGCGCGACTTGTAAAATTTCGTCGTGGCGAATTCAACATTAAATATGAGAGAGGTCGCCGAGCGTGACTGGCGACAATGAAATAAAACCTTTGAAGGAGGCAAATACAGGGACACATTTTAAACGCCTTCACTCTTTGGCCGGTTGGTTTCGATGGCGGGGCAGATGAAGCAGCACGTGGCGCGAGCCACACCACACCGCATCTCCACGAGCCAACATGCTGAAACTTGCCCCCT